AGTTATGGAGAACTTTCTTAACATTGGGGCTGCCACCCTCCCTTTCCCTTGAAGCGATGGCACAAATAATGCTGTGTAGCACAGTTGTCTGGAAAGTTTGTTAACACTCGGATTTCTGGAACCTAAGTATGGCTGGTGTGAGGTCACAGAATTGTCATTTTCCTGGTTCCTGGCATTGCTGCAGGTTTAGGCTCTCCACCCCCAGGTTCTTGGGACATCAACATAGCAGGACAGGTTGGCTGGGGGAGGCATTGTTTGCAGACTCCCCACGGCCATGAAGTTTGGCTTCACTGCTGAGAACAGACGGGCTGAGGCTCACTGGGAAATCCTGAGCTCTCTAGGCGGGGGCGGCACACCCAATGTTGAGGCACCTCTGTTGGTAAGAAAAGCCCCCCGCTCTCCAACAGACCTCACGCTCGGTGCTCCAGCCCACCAGAGCTATTTCAGTCGCTTTGCTTTTCAAGGAGGACAGACCCTTTATCCATGTCACCCCTCCAAAAGCTAAAAACTGTCATGAAATTGACTTCATTCCCAAGCCCCACTGACTTAAATGTTCCTGAGCCATCCTCTGAGGCTGTAAGAATTGCCAGGGTGCCTTTCAGGTATCCACAGACTGAAAAGGCCCTCAAGCAGCCTCCTGCAGAGACAGGGTGACCAGGATGCAAATTCTCTAGATTTCCTATCCTGGGCAACTGGGCCCAAGCACTGCCTTCAGAAGACACTCACTGAGCCGGGTATGGTGGAGCACACTTGCAATCCCAGTGCTTGGGAGGCAGAAGCAGGAGGATCCTGCCTGGACTACAGAGTAAGTCCCGGTCTCAAAAAAACAAAATAAAAAAATAGATAAAAACAAAACAAAAACTCACGGACTGAATAAAAGAAAGCAATATAAAAGTGTGGATTGCCAGGCTCAGGGTGTAGCCTGTGGGAGGCTCCGAGTTAGATCCCCAGCACACACAAAAAAGACAGGCTGGAAGAAATGGTCAGCTTTCACCCCATTCACCCCAGAGGCCTTCTCAGGCACCTTGGGAAGCAGGAGAACCTGACATCCAAGCAGAGGAGCCATTGTCAGGCACACGTCATCAGCAGTGGGTACCTCGAGGAAGGCCTGCAACCAGGCCATTCCCTCCTGGTGCGCCCAGGCCGGTGAGGGAGACAGACAGGGAGGCAGAGGACAGTCCCTGTCACAGGGACCCAGAGAGGGCTCCTGGCCACCCTGGGAGCTGGCTGCACAGGTGAGTTTATATGGGAAGACAAAACCAGGCACAGAGGACTCTCCTACCCACCTCTGCCAAGGGCGACGCTCTCTTGCCCAGAGTGCTCCTGGACACAGCTGTAGACCACAGGCAGGCAGAGTATGGCCAGCCCTGGCGACCACCTGGGGCGTGCAGTCCTGTGGGCCTGCACCCTCTGCAGGGGCTCCAGATGTGCTTTGTGGCTAGGTCTTAAGCTCCTATGGTCCCTAAGTCAACACAGAACCAAAAGGTGTGTAGCTGAGCTCTTGCTCCAGGTCTGCCCAGATGTGCCAGCTCCCAACCCCACCCCACACCCCGGCCAGGCTCCTGCCCTTGGTTTACCATGAGTCCTCCAGGGTTTCTTCATTTGGTGTCATGCTTTCTCACACAAAGGCAGCATCCACACTGGCCCGGACATTGAAAAGAGGCGAATTTCGTCTTCCAAATGCACTGGCTTCAGTCACAATATGCACAATGGTGCAGGTGATTGAACCCAGGCCTTCCCACGCCACACGCACTCCCCGCTGAGCCCACCCATCCCCACAAGAGCCACTTCTGTGTTGCATCTGCTTTACTGGGAGAAGTGGAGCTCAGGTCAAGCTTTACAAATATTTTGCCTAGACACAGAAAGGCCTGGAATGGTGGGGGAAAGCCAGCCAGGCCCTCGGCTCGGCTCAGGCGACTCTCCAGTGTCTCTCTGGGAGAGCGTGGCTTAGCAACAGTCGTGAGGGATGCAGGGGACTGAGATGGGTATGTTTGTGTTCCCTTGGCCTGTGAGTGAGGAGCAGTGGAATAAATTGTCAAATCTCAAATCATGGCTGCTGACTGTGACCAACAAACTAAAGGGAATAAAGGGATCAAGTAAGAAGGGGACCTGTCTCACATCCCAACGGGCCTAAGGTTAACAGCTGGGGCAGAAATCTTTGCCCGTGTGGTAGAGGAAAGCAAAATGGAGACGTAGATGGGAAAGCGTTTTTCTGGGTCCCTAGCAAAGTTCAGGGAGAAATCAGGATTGACAGCTGCTCTAGGCCTGGCTCAGGAATCCTGGGAGGGCAGAGTGGGCAGAGGGAACAGGGAGGCGAAGGCAGGAAATGGGTGTTGGTTAGTATGGAGCAGAGGCCCTGGCAGAAACCCCAGCACCTCTGCTCTCTGACTCCTGTTATTGACATCACCAAGGGAAACACTACATGGTGGCACACTGCTGGGACAAGGCTTTACTCACTCAGAGACAGAGCACAATAAACTTGGGGGAGGGTCTTTCCCAACCAGGGCCATTGGCCTCCACTGACCCCTCTGTGTGCAGTAGGGAAACCCCATCCCAGCCACAGGGGACAGATATGGCAGTGGGGTTGGCCAGGTGCCCTGTGACACAGGACAACACACTGTGGCAGAAGAGGGGAAGGCAGCCCACACAGCATGGGGATTCTAGCAACCTGTGGACCCTGATGTAGTAAGGAAACTTCCAGGCCCAGGGCCCACTCTCCTGTGGCCCAGAGTGGGCGGACAGGTCAAGACTGCCTCTCCCAGCAGTTGGCACTCTGGGCCCTTCTCCTCTCCCTCCTGTTTGCCATGTCTCCTCTCTGTCCACAGGTGTCCCGCCCTTGTGCAGTTCCGAGCAGGCCAACTTACTGACTGAGCACACCCATGCCTTGCAGGCAGTGGGCACTAAGGAGCACTCAGCAAATACTTAGCAGGAAGGCCGTGTGAACCCTCAGCACCAGTTCTTGGAGGGACATCCATGGACTCTCCTGGCGGCTCACGCACCAGGTAGGACTGAAAAGCAAATTCTAGAGCCTCTGTCCAGGCCCTGACACACAGTGGACTCCCTCCCCCACCTCAGGGAGTTGCCAGCCTGGCCCTGACTAGTCAGCCCTGTGACAAAGTAGACAGCTGGGAAGGGAAGTCCTGGGTACTCGTGGGCATCTCCAGACCAACCTGAGGTCCTGGGGAGATGACCAGAAATGTCCTGCAAGGAATAGGCCTTTTACCTCTCTGTGGAGAAAGACCAGGGTCCAGCCTCTTTTGGTCAGATTTGGCCCTGATTGTACCTGGCTGAAGCTTTGATGCCCCCCCCAACCCTGTGCCAAGGCCTAACCAGGGCCCGGTAGTTTGTGTCCTCAGTAATGTAATGGTCTTGTAGGGGACAGAGAAGATGAGAGCAGTCTCCTGTCACTTTAGGATGACTTGCCAGCAAGCCTAGTGCAGAGGGCAGGATCTGATATGATGTGAGCCTCCCATCACAGGTAGAGGAATCACGGAATTTCTGCTTTGTGACTGGCTTCTTCACTCAGCAACTTTCATGTTGAAATGAAACACGTTGAGACACGTCAGTACTTCCTTTTAACTGCTGAACAATACTGTGTGAGTGTAACACACTGCATGTATCTATTTGTCAGCTGATAAGACATTTGGGGTGTTTCTACTTTTGTTGTTGTTGTTGCTGGGGGGATGGAAGCCAGAGCCCCTTACATGCCAGGCAAGCACTCACCACTGAGGTACACCCAAGCGCCTTTTGGCTGTTAGAATGCAGCCATGAATGTCCACGTGCCAGTTCCTGCTGGACGCACTTTCATCTTATTGGAGTCGCATTGCCAAGTTCCACGGTCACCATTTACCATTTTGAGGATCTGCCAGATTGTTTTCTGTAGTGGCTGCACCATTTTACATCCCCACCAATACATGGGGTTCTAACTTGTCACATGTGTTACTGCCTTTTAAAAACCCAAAGTGGCCACCCTGAAGCAGCATTTCCCTATGCTTGATGACACTCAGCGTCTTCGTGTGCTCCCTGCTGCTTGTCTATCTTCTCCAGGAAATGTCTATTCAAATCTTTTCGGGCAACTGACCAGAGGCCATAATGAGGTTCTACGTAAAGTGTTGGCGGGGACTTGCCACATACTGGGGACTAAGACTGAGGTTTCAGTACTGCACTTGTGTTGCCCCAGAGAACAATGCCCACCATGGCTCTGTGGTTTGGAGTTGCAGCTGGGGCTGCTGTGACCCAGGGGAGCAGAACAAGAAAGCTCTGCTCACTTGTCAGCACAGGGCAAAGGAAGAGCCCCATTTGCACAAAGGGCCCCTGGTGTTCCAGTCCTGCCCAGCAATTCCACATTTTCATGAAGCATGACTTTATTTACAAGGCATGAAAATCTTTGGTTGGAAATATGTGGTTACTTCTCCAAGGTCATGTGCTTGAAAGTGGTGGAACCCAAGATTTGAACTCAGTGCTGAGCCCCGCTAGAAGCACAGGCAGGGCTCCCGAGGACAAGTCCAGGCACAGGCAGCCAGTGTGGGGCAATGCTGCACTGGCCTGGGCTTCTGGGAGGGAGGAGGGTCCGTGTCTAAGAACTCAGTCCGTGTCTAAGAAAAGCTGGAGGACAGCTTTTCCTCTCCAGGCCTTGGACCCTCTAGAAAGTGAGGAAAAGAACAGCTCTCCTCAGAGCAGCGTAAGGATCTGTGTTTAGCAGTGTCTGGCCCACGGCCGCACAGCTTTCTCCTGTGTCTGCCCTGCTCCCCCTGCACTGCCCCCCACCCTCACCCCAACCCTTGTCTTCTCTGCCATTGGCACTGGCCCGTCCTAGAGCACAATGTCTCGACCGTGGGGACGGGGTTGAAGCAGTCACTACAGCTCTCAAGCCCTGCCGCTTATCTCTTCTCACCCCTACTCCCTGCCCTTGGACAACGCTCTCCCACAAAGGTAGGAGGTCCAGTAAGGGCCGAGTCTCCAGGATGATGATTTAAGACTAAGAAGAAAAGCAGGTAAAAAAATAAACTTTATTAAAGAAACTGCTAAACCTAGCACTAAACAACACTTTCTAAGCAGGAAACCTATGAAGCAAGAGTCAAACATAAACAAAAACCCCATTCTGTCACTTCTGCTTAGCTGTGACAGGTCTAGCTTACTACTTGTTTCCACATACCAATTCAGAGGACTGTGTGCTTTCTCTCACCTCCTCGCCTTGGTGGCAAATTGACCCAGTCTTGGGCTCAGGCTGGAGGACTCCAGCTAGTGTTCTCCCTAAACCGTCTTACCAGCAGGGCACTGACCAGGGTCCCAGCCAACAGAATATGTTCGGGGCTGCCTGGTAGCCAGCAGTGGCCACCTCTTAAAGTATCTTCAACACAGGACAGGAGAAGAAGCCAGTGCCACCGGGCCTGAACAGATCTAAGGAATTTTTATCATAAGGACCTGGACCTATGTGAGCCTGCCCCTTCTGGGGCAGAGCTGGGGTGGAGGGGTGAGGGGCGGGCCAAGGGCCCTGGTCAAGACTCAGCATCAGGAGAGGAAACCTCAGTCCTTCTTGCCTCCTGGGGCCAGGCTTCTTGTGAGGAGCTTCCCTGGGCTGCTGGGGGCCAGTGTGGACACTGTGGGGCATTCCAGCTTCACTCTGTCGAGGAGGGTCTTCTTAACTGCAGCTGGGGAGATCTTTTCCTGGTCAGCCATGGACTGCAGCTCTCTGCAACAAAGTCCAAAGGCTTGAAGGAAGACAAGAAGCCTCAGAGCCAGGGCATCCTGACTCCTCCAGCCATGCAGTGCTACTCAACCTGACAGCACCAAAAATTAGAATTCCAAACCAAAGTGCTCCCAGGTTCTGAGTCCTATTGCACTAAGGAAGAGTTTGTCTCATTTATCTTATCTGATCTGAGCTAAGCAAAGAGCTTCCATATATCTGTGATCACATGGGGAGGAAGAGAACACAGAAAATTAAAGGGTCTGCAGTCAGACACCTGAAGGTGAATCCTGCATCCATCACTTAGCTGTTTGACCTTGAGCTTTCCTACCTATAATTCAAAGCTAACTCTAGCTATCAGAACATACTGAAGTAAGGTCAGCAACCCTTAGCTAAATGAAGTCTGGCAAGTTGTGGGAATTAACAGGACTGACTCCAGCACGGCTGATGGGACCCAAGACAGGAGAACAACAGGATGGAAATGGGAGTGGGAAGCCTGGGGCAGGGAAAGTGAGGCACATACCGTGTGCGGATACAGGAGGCCTCAACTGCGTTGATGAGCAGAGAGCGGAAGCCCCCACTCTCTAGGAAGTGGAGGGCATGGATGGTGGCTCCCCCGGGGGAGCAGACGTTGTCCTTGAGCTGGCCTGGATGGTCCTCTGAGTCCAGCAGCATCTTGGCAGCTCCCTGTGCACAGAGGAGCATCAAAGAGAGAAGGTGCTGGCGTACCTTGGGACAAGTTTCCCCATGCAGCTCCTGGCTAGTCCCTGTGCCAGCTTCCCAACTAGCCCATCCCGTCCCCAGCCCAGTGACCCACAAGAACCTCCCACTGTACACCTGGGCTGCAACATGCACGGAAGAGATACTAACCAGCAAGGCCTGGGCCCCCAGTCGGACTGCCAGACGCCGTGGCAAGCCCATCTTTACCCCGCCGTCAGCCAGCGCGTCCAGAGCCATGAACGCCTGTGGAGACACTCTCTGAAACCTGGCAGCAGACTCAAGGCCCGCCCCAGGGTCTGCTTTCCTCGACGACACGAACTCAGCTCCAAGGACCAGCATCCTCCGCCAGCCAGCCACTCCCAAGCCCTCCTGCCAGCCCACCCAGCTGCCTAGGCTCCCCACAGGCTGAACAAACGGGCAGTCCAGGGTCTCACGTAGGCAGGCCCACTGCCGCTGAGTCCAGTGATGGCGTCGATCAGGTCCTCTTCCACCTCGGTGCAGAAGCCCACACTGCTCATAAGCTGCTCCAGGAGCTGCCCATCCTCCACCAGGGCATGGGTGCCAGTGGCGTACACCGTGGCACCTTCCCGCACCACCACCGGTGTATTGGTCATGCAGCGAATCACTTTAGGGGCTGGCTGGAACGTCATCAGCTTCTGGAGCAGGACAGAGGGCCAGGTGAGTGGAAGGGCACAGCTCCCCCTGCATTGCCCATCAGGGCAGAGATGCTCACCTTCTCCACAGAGTTGATGGTGACGCCAGCCGCACAGGAGACCACGATGTGCCTGGCCTGCACATCAGCGCCAATCTCGTCCAAGATGAAGGGGATGATGTGTGGCTTCACAGCCAGAAACAGGACATCACTGTGTCGCACTGTCTCCTTGTTGCTTCGGGTCAGGTTCACGCCCATCTTCTGCAGGAGGAGATGGCCCAGGCTAACAGTGCTGGGCAGCCTGGCTAAGCCCAGGCCTCCCAGGGACCAGCTGAGCCTCTACCAAGCCCACACTGCCAGCTGCATCTGGCAGCCCTTGTCCTGTGCCCAGGGTCCATCCCTACCTAACACGCACAGTTTTCCCCTCTGCCTCTGGACAAGGGAGCACAGGAGCAGCACATGCCAAGCTTCCCATAGTAGTCAGGACGTGGGAGTTTCCTCAGCCCCATCAAGATTCTGGCACTCCAGATGCTCCTGGCCAGGTAAGGGGCCCCCCTGGTGGAAAACGGCAGAGGCAAAAGGAAAGGCAAAGTGCCAGTGCCCAGAGCTGTGTCAGCCATTTCACATCCCACCACTGTTCACCAGAGTACATGGCCTCTGTGTGGTGCGGTGGTGGGCAGCAGGACACCCAGCTCTTTAGGACTGCACGTGGAGAAGCAGGGCCTCCAGTGCTAGGAACATTTGCCCATCCTAGGCACAGACACTGTCTTGTCACCTGCCTCTTCAGCAGCCCTCTCCCACACTGGCCAGGTTCGTTCCCAACATGGTCATTTGTGCTCAGGACAACAGAAAATGGCTGTGGTAAATGAAGAAACTGAGCCTCAGAGTGGCTGAGGACTTTAAGACCAACAGAAAAAGATGGAGGAGTCTTTAACGGGCACCTACTACGACCCAGGTGCTTTCAAATATAACTACTTCGGTCAAACGTCTCATCACCCCAGTGTCTGGATTCGACCCCCAATCTGTCTACCTGGGGACTCCCACCACACTAGGCTGCCCCAAAGGTGGAAGGACGACGACGGATCCTGGGGGGCGGTCAGCACAGTGGCTCAGGGGCCACACGCTCCGTTCATCTCAGGTCCTTTCTCCTGGGCCTCCCCCCTCCCCCACGCCCCTCGGCCCACCTACCCTGAGCGCGGACACGGTGGGCAGGTCCATCTCTGGGGAGCTGGCGATTATCTTGTGAGCCGACAGGATGCCTGCGGGAAGACAGGCTTTGAACTTGGGGCCCGGGGCCCCCTCCGCCGCCAAGCCTTCCCGGGGAAGAGGACCCCGGTGCAGGGCCCCCGCGGAGAGAGACGCACGGCTGTGGGCGTTCATTCATTCACGCTGCCGGGGCCCGCGGCGCCGCTGCCTCCGCCGCCACGCGCTCACCTGCGGCGGTGAAGCCCCGCGCCAGCGCACAGGCCAGCTGGCCCGCGCCGATGAAGCCCACGCTCATGGCTGCCGGCTCACGTCTCCCGTCGGCCGCGGGAACCCGTGAGCGCGAACCCGGAGACGCCGCTAAGGGGAAGGGCGGGGCTCACGGGCGGCGCGCGGGGGAGGGCGCGGGGTGCGGGGGAGGGCGCGGGGTGCGGGGAGGTCTGCGTAGCTTCCGGTCCCAGGCGAGGCGAGGCTCGCTCCTGGGCTGCACAGCGCAGCTCCCACCCCCACCGCAGGAGGCCACCCGCGGTGCCGCAGGCCACGTGGTCCGGAAGACCAATCCGCGGCTGGAAGATTGGAGAGGACCAATCCGCGGTCAGGAGCTCAGGAGACAACCAATCCCGAGCCACTCACGAAGCCGGGCCCACGGGGCGCGCGCCCAATAGGCTTGCGGGTTCGCAGTCCCGACGCTGCTCGGGCACCCGGAGGGGTCTCGGGACCGCACGTGGAGACCCGCGGCTGCCTTCCGGCCTCCATTTGCTTTTTACATTTCTCCTGATGGGACGCTTCCTTTTTCCCCAGCGGGGGGCGAAGACCGGGGAAGGCGCGAGGAGGAAGGTGGCATTCCTAAAGGCAGCGGCTCCCGGGGTGCTTACGTCTCATGCTGCCCAGGCTGGTCCTGAGCTCCTCGGCTCCATCGACGCGCTTCCCTCGCCCCAGGAGTAGCTGGGATTACACTGCAGGCCACCACGTCTGGCCTCTGAAGTGAGAGGCGAGACGAGGACAGGACAGCTGCTGTCCCCGGCAGCCACTTGGGACACGGGCTGAAGGAGGGCGCCAGCCTGGCGCTGCTGTGTGGTCCTCTCTGTGTCACCCCGAGACGGGCCTCCCGTGTGACCGCTCTGTCCGGACAGACGGGCCGCCAGGCCGCCAGGACTGCCTGCCCTCCCCTGCGCTCTGCTGCTCCCTCTGCCAGTCAAGCGGGTTCAGCAAACCCGGCTTCTCTCTAAATTGCAGGCGGCCTCGGAACTGAGCTGGCCCAGGCGGTGGGGCAGAACCGCAGCTGCCCCCAGCTGAGCAGATGGCAGCTCCCTGGGACCCAGTCCTCCTGTGATCCTCCTACCTGCGCCTCCCATGTAACTGGGATTACATGCCACCACTCCGAGCCACCCGTCTTTTTTTATTATTAAACAATTCAGCAAAATAACATTCCAGCTTATTGTTGTTTCACAAATAGATCAAACAGACCACAATAAATAAATAGCAACTTTGTAGGCAAAAAAAAGAAAAAAAGAAGAAACTCGGTTTTTTTTAACCATCTCATACAAACCAACTACTTGTACACATACACGCACAAATTTACTGGCATGCTCAGAAAAAGATGTCAGCTTTGCTTTTATATTTGGCAACACTGGAGTTTGAACTCAGGACCCCAAACTTGTTAGGTGCTCTTACTGCTTGAGCCACTCAGTCAGCCTCTTTTGTGATGGTTTTTTTTCAAGATAGGGTCTTGGGAACTATTTGCCCAGAGCTGGCTTCCGACGCAATTCTGCTCTCTGCCTCCTGAGCAGCAGGGATTACAGATGTGAGCCACTTCACCTGACCTGCTTTAAGTTTTGTGTTCCTCCCCCTTTGAGTTTGAATGAACATATTCACACCACTTGAAGTCAGAAGTAGGGCAGAGAATGCCCTGATCTCACCCGAAGTCACTGAAAACAGCTGACCTCTGGAGCTAGTCTGCGCTGCTTTCTCCTTTGTGCTTCACTAACACCACGTCTCCTCATTAGGTCCTAAAAATAAAGGCTTCTCCAAGTGATCTTTGTCTACCTGTGGCTTTTATCAGGGTAGAGTGGGCAGAAAAAAAAATGGCTGGCTTCTAACTATGTACAAAATTACAAAGTGAATAAAAATGCAAAGAAACTTCCCTTTTAAAGATACTTTTAAGAAAAAAAAAAAGCAGAGCCTTGAAACTTTTATTACTTTTTTGCTTGCCTTGCCTTTTTCACCAACATGCCTGGCTGTTATTTCATCTTGTAAGTGAAAAAAATCATAATTACATCCTACTTCTAGCCAGGTATGGTGATGCACACCTGTAATCCCAGTACTCAGGCGGATTTCAAGTTCAAGGGCAGCCTCAGCTATGTAGTAGGACCCTGCCTCAAAAAAAAACATACAAACAAGCAGAAAAAACAAAAAACTCTGGCATGGTGGTACACGTCTGTAGTCCCAGCTACTCAGGAGGGGAAGTAGGAGGATCACAATCCAAGGCAAAAGTGTAAGACCCTATCTGAAAGACAAACTAAAGAAGGAAGCGGGGCGGGTGGGGGGCGAGTGGAAGAGCCCTTGTGTGAGACCCTGAGCTCAATCCCCAGCACTACTGAAACAAAATAAGAAGTCCCACTTCTAATGGGATTTAGCTTAGTGCTGAATTTGTTTCTGTACTTTGAGGAATAGTTTCCGGAATTAAGTGACATAATACATTGTCCAGCTCGGCTCCCTGCTTCCTGGTGGACACCCAACAGATGCTCGTTGACCACAGCCCTGCCATCCCTGGCCCCATAACCACCACTGCAAGGGTTCAAGTGCTTTCTAAAGGGGAGGCTTATGTGAGTGATGGTTGACAATACTATTTTTGGAACGAGTTACTTGAAAAATACAAACTTAGCCATTACAGTCTCCAGTGCCTCTAGAAGTTTCTTCCCATTGTCAAGCTACTCAGTTGCCCCTCTCTCCTGTGTAAAGAGCTCTAGAAATTAGTAGCAGACCCAGTGAAAACGTCACTTTTATTTTGTTTCTTCAGATCATCTACATTCAATTGGTTTTGCTAAACATAAAAACCAGCAACATGTAAATACAGGGTAAGTACGTTCTCTAAGACAGTGGGGACAACCTAGGAAGGGCCCAGGCAATGCTGTGTGATGCTGCGGACTGGGCACCTGAGAACTGAAGTCCACTGCTCCTTCTTAAGGGGACACAGTAACAAGCGCTCCTGCATTTGCCTAAAGTCCAGCCAGAAGCCAGGTGTCCTGATTCTCTTGTCAACTGCCCCAGGCTGAAGCCGCTCATCCTCCCTCCCTGCTGCCTCTGTGGGAAACAGGGACCTAGGTGTGTTTTTAAGTCTGGAATGGGTTGGCATTTTGGATTTGCAGATCTCCCTGCCTAGTGCAAACAGGGATTTGTTTTGTTTTGTTTTAATTCATCATGTAATAGTGTAAGTCAGTTGTATTTCCGCTCTCATCACAGGGTTTTGTTCCATGCTTAGCTGAGAATTCACCAAGGAACAGCCTCAACTGATAATGTGACATTGCTCAGCGTGTCATGTGAGTTGGCTGGGATTGCCTACAGGAGCTGCATTGTTCACTTCCCTAAGTGCTTAGGATGGGTGGTAGGGAGCACAGGAAATGGAAGAGTGCCAGGCCAAGGTCATCTGTGGGCACTAAACTGGCACAAGGGACACTTGCTAAGTGTAAAATTGAGAACTGCTTCTATGTACTGCCTGCTTCTACGTGAAGCCTCAGTGGCCACACAGGGCCTAGGGCTCCAGGCCCCTGGGCACAGGTGCCCCATCCGAGGCACAGCTGCACTTCTGCACCCTCATGTTGGGCAGGCTGACCACCTGGGGCCTGGTCCTGCCTCCCTCCTTGATAGTGACGATCATGGGCAGTGAGGCAGTCTCTGAGGCGATGCACTGCCGAGGCCCCAGGAACGTCCACTGGAAGGTCAGGGGCTTTGGGGGCTGCAGGCAGCTGCCCACACACTCATAGGCCAGGAAGCCCGGGGGCTCCAGGACCCAGTTCTCCGCCCACTTCATCCCCTGCAGGTCCAGGTACATCTCCTGGCGGCAGCAGCGGGTGTCCTTAGTCACTGGTGCCTCAGGGTCACAATTGCCTTGAGCTCTGTGGGGGCAAGGAGAGACAGGTCAGAGGTCAATTAGAAGGCAGAGGTCAGGAGCATCTGGGAGGGAGACTTAAGAGCCCCCTTCTCAGTGTGTTCAAAGCTGGATGTGGGGCTGGTGGGGGGAGGTTTGAGCTTGCCTGGCATGCTTGAAGCCCCAGGTATCCTGGGTTCAATGGCCAGCACGGCAGGAGAGAAAGAGAGAAGGAGAGGAGAAGAAAGCAGAGAGAGAGAGAGAGAGAGAGAGAGAGAGAGGGAGAGGAAGGAAGAAAAGAAAGAAAAGCTGGATTTTTGTGTTAGAGGATGGGTAGCTAAACATACCTAAAAGCTAAATAACTGGTATTTACTGAGGACCTCCTATGAGTCAGGAAAAACTTTAAAAATGTTCTCATTCGTTCCGACCCGCTCTAAAAGAAGTCGTCATTCTAAAATAAGTGGAATTCCCTATGCGCCCCTCTGTTGGGGCCCATCGGTTTGACCCCCGGCGCCTACCCGTAGTCCTTGAGGTCCAGCGTGTGCAGCTCCAGCTGCGGCTCGCCCCGCGCGGCGCCCGCCGTCCCCTGCGCGGCGAAGCGCACCAGCCTGTGCGCGCCCGAGGCCCCGGGGCCCAGGTGCTCGCTCTGCACCGACACCTGCAGCAGCAGCGGCTGCCGGGGCCGGCTCAGCTGCTGCCAGAAGTTCACGGCCTCGGTCACGTCGAACGCCTTCCAGCCGCTCTCGTGCACCGACACCAGCCTGGGACACAGCCCATCGGGAGTGAGGGCTGGGGGCTGGCGGGGCTGCGGGGGCCCCGGGGAGCCCGTGCGCCCCGCCCCCGCCCCCCACGCCCCGCCGCGACCCCCACCTGGAGTCGATGAGGGACGTGCGGTTGGAGCCGTCGTCGCGGACGCGCAGCCACTCGATGGTGACCTGCGCCCGGGCGCTGCGCTCCAGCCTGCGGAGCGCGGCCCTGGGAAGCGGCTGCTGGAAGAGCCGCAGCACCGCCTGCACCAGCTCGCTGTTGGGCGGCAGCCGCTGCTCCATGCCGAACACCAGCAGGTGTGTGGACACCTCGGACACCAGGAACCTGCCCGCCACCTCTGGGGACAAAGCAGGGTCAGCTGGGCCTCTCAGGGACTGAGTGGCTCTGCCACTGAGCAGGTGGCCAGGTCAGGAGGAAGCAGCCCCTGTTCTGTATGTGCCTCTGGGGCGAACACAGGTGGTTCTGGGTCTTGTTCAGTAACTCTCCACCAGCAGGAAGGCAGCTGTGGGTCCCACAGCTATGGGGAGCTGCCTGGCCTGGGTCAGGCTCTGCACCTGACAGATGACCCCAGCCCCCAGGTGAGAGGCTGTCTAGGATCCAGGCAGGCTATATCCTGACAGCTGGAGTCCTCACTGTCATACTTCCCCATTTTCAGTCACCCAAGGATGCCTTTCCCACACTTCCTCGCTGTAGTGCATCCACTGTTCCAGGTGATACCCCAGGTTTTCCAGCCTGCACCCCACCTCTCTATGGGGAGCCGGGTCCTTGCCATGCCCATCCCAGCCAGACATCTCTGCTGTCCTCTGCTACCCTAGTTCTCTGGGCCTAGGCTTTGCCAGCTGATCCAACCTGGTGTACGTCCTCCTGGCCATGAGGGTCCCTGAGAACGGGTCCCTCGGTTTACTCCAGAATCCAGGGCTCCAGGCCGAGCCACCCTCGCAGGTCACGGTGCCTCTTCTGAGCTGCTTGGACTGAGGCTCCCACGTCTCCCCTCTGAGCCTCCCCAGCTAAAGGGGACATGGCCATGTGCCCTTCCCAGAGACCAGGCGCACAGAGGAAGGCTCACCTCGGAAGTTCTGGCTGAACCTCTTTCCACGGGGACGGTCCCCATGGCTGCGCTGCAGCAGGGCCACGTACCGGGCCCTCAAGTGGGCAGGGATGGTCAGCCCCTCCACGTCAGTCCTGTCCAGGACAGGCGCTTGCCTGAGATGCAGCTGTTGCAGCAGGCTGCCCAAGACCCGCTCTTCGGTCAGGGCCACTCCAGGGCAGGCCAGGGGCAGCACCCAGAGTGCCCAACACAGCCACAGGGGCCGCATGGCACTGCTCAGGAGGATTAAGGGGCTTGTGGGTTCCCCCCCCCCAAGGAGACTCTTCGAGGTTCTAGGGCCTGGCTGCTGAGAGCTGGGACCGGCCAGCTTTATAGCGGGCCCTGGGTGGGGGGAGGGAAGCAGGTCACACCCTCAGACCTCCTGGGAGCGCAGCAGCCAGACAGTCCCCTGAGCTGTGAGGAGGGGGCTGTCTAGAGAGGGCACAAAGGGCTGTCTGCTTTCTACACAGGCCTGGGGCTGTGCTGCCTCCACAGCTCGACAGAGCTTTCAATGCCTGTTGAACTTCCTGGCCCCATCCCAGTCCTGTTCTATGAAAAAGAGAGGTATTCTGTGAAAAAGAGCCCCCTTCAGCTGTTTGAACTCTTTAAGTCTCTTCCCAGAGGCCAGACAGGGTGTAGATTTGTTCATGGAGGAGGAGAGAAAGTGTTCTGCATTCCTGCTGCTCTGGCCACTGTCACAGACGCCCTCACAGGGGAGGCAGCTCCTTCCCATCTCCCCCTCAGGTACCTCAGGGTCTGAAAGTGCTTGCCTTCCCCATGACAGAAAGCTAGATGTTGCCAGGCCAGAAACTGGCAGTCCATTCCCAGGAGAAAGCTGTCTTTGCATTCAGGTAACCACGGAGTGAGGACAGTCTTCATATGGCCAATTCTTCCTGGGAAGGGCCTATCCACTGAGCTGGCTCACACTGCCAGGCACAGAATGAGGGGCAGGGGTGTAGAAAGCAGAGGCCAGAGCTCCCAGGGGGCATGTCCAGTCCAAAGCCACAGGTACTGGGACAGATTGAGGTGGGGGCCCCCAGTGTGTGCTCCAGCACACATTTTACATTGACTAGGTTCAAATATGGGACCTGCCGTTTGGTAGTGCTGGATCTGCCCATGACTTAGCTTCCCTGAGCCCGGTTTTTCTCGTTTGAAGGAGGAGTGACGAAGGCAGGGTTTACTTCATCGGGTTGACGTAAGATTAAATGAATGGGTACATTTAAGGCCTGTAGCCCAGTGCCTGAGCCTTGTAAACACTGTAGAAGGGTTTGCTGACGACATTATCATCTGTCTAAAATCTGCACTCTTGGGCTGTGGCTTTTCTGAAAACATCAGTAACAAGAATAGCAAGCGGTTTTTTTTTTTTTTTAAATGCTCACCATGTGCTAGTTCTGTTCCAAGGGAGTTAGCCCTTAGGAAATAGTCATCAACTTTTGGGGGGCACCTTCCAGATGCAAAATCAGAGCACTGGATGGGTGCTGGTGGCTCATACCTGTAATCCTAGCTACACAGGAGGCAAAGATCAGGAGGATCAAGGTTCAAAGCCGGCCTGGGCAAACAGTTCACGAGACCCTATCTCAAAAAAACCCTTCACAAAAAGGGGCTGGTGGAATGGCTCAAGGTATAGGCCCTAAGTTCAAACCCCAGAAACCGCCCCCGCCCAAAAAAAAAATCAGAGCACTGCAGACCAGTCATCTGCCACAGTGAACGGTTAATGAGTTCATGACACAGGTGCAGCCATCTGTCTCCAGAGGCCCCTCCCCGCTCAGGGGTCTGAGGTGTTCAGGAGAAAGCCCCGCCTGACAGCCTCCATTCCCATGTTGTCACATGGAGAATAGCAAGCGTGGTGGAGGGGGACAAGGAGAGTGTTCTGTGAGCTAAGGGGCCCAGTGGGCAGGGCTCAGCCCTCTGCCTTGCCTGTGGGAGGGGGGGCCCTCTGGACTCATGGGGATAACCCGTCACCAACAGGTCTTCCCAGTTATCCTGGCTTGTCTTCCTCTTGCATCCCAGACAGAAGAGAGAACCTTCTGGTGCTCAAGGGAATGTCCCCTGGATGAGGTCAAACTACCACCATATGCATTTACATATACACACATATATTTGCATACACATACAGAAACAGGTTTTGGCAGTAAGTGGGGGCAGGTTTAGAATTAGAAGAAGAGGAGGAATAAGAATATCCCTGTTAGGACCAGGTGTGTAGGTTCATGGTCAATGGTAGAGCACTTGCCTATGGTTCACAAGGCCCTGGCTTTGATCCCCAGCACTGCAAAAATAAATAAAACCCGGATAATAATAGCTAATGCCTAACAGTGTTTGTAGGCCGTCACTGTTATAAGTGCTTTGCATATCTGTGTGTGTGCTCATAGATTCACATGTGCACACAGAATGTATATATGCACTAGTAACTCTTGGTGGATTTTTTCTTTTTGCCTTTGTTTTGCAGGTCTTGGGTTTGAGCTCAGAGCCTCAAGCTGGGAAGGTGCTAGGCAGGTGCTCTGCCACTTGAACCATCCCCCAACCCTTTTTCACTTAGCAATTTTTCAGCATCTCAAATTTTGACCTGTGGTGGCCTTGGACATCACTTCTCCTACCTGTGCTTTGGAGTAGCTGGGATCGCTGGTGTAGACCACCATGCGCAGCACTGTTAACTTATCTTCCTCAACAGGACACGGGGAGGAGGTTGTCATTATTTTTATTTTTTTTGGCTGTACTGGGATTTGAACTCAGGGCCTCATTCTTGCTAGGCAGGCACTCTATCACTTGAGCCACTGCACCAGCCCTTTTCTGTGCTGGCTATTTTCGAGATAGGGTCTTCAGAACTGTTTGCCTGGGCTGGCTTCGAATCTCGATCAACCTTCCTGATCTCTGCCTCCTGAGTGGCTAGGATTGCAGGTGTGAGCCAATGGTGCCCGGCAGAGGTTGTCACTATTTCCACCTTATAGGTGAAGAAACTGTTTCCTCATCCTGTTATGTGACTTGTTAAGATCGCACAGCTAGTAAGTGCCAGAGCTTAAGGTTGTTTAAAGGAAAGCACAGAGGACTAAGTCACCATGTGTGCACCGGCTGAGATAAGAGAAACTGCAGAAATCCTGACAGCAGAGCCAGGGAGGGGAATCTCAGGAGTCACAGAATCATGACCAGCTGCTTTTCTGCCTTTCCTTTTCCCTCCCACCTCTGTTTCCAAGGAAACCATAATCCACAAGGAGCATTCAATCCCATCTGGGGGAGGGGGGGCTGGGGTGCAATTTAGTGGTGAGTGCCTGACTAGCATGTGCGAGGCCCCAGGTTCCATCGCTAGCACTGCAAAACAAGAAAACAAAAACAAACCCCATCCTGGCACTCACATCCCATAGATTGAAGATCCCCTGAGAAACACACAGACCCCCGCCCTGCATCCGGCCCAAACAGGCCCTCCTGCCTTCTCCTCCCTGACAAACATGGCCTTCTTCAAAAGAAAGGTTGCTGCCTTTCTTTGCAAGTGATTAGCAGGGAAAGGACTCACATGATGCAAACATTTGGGCCTTGTCAGACCAAAAGGCACAGAAGTGTCACATTAACCAGCAACCCAGGACCTATGTGTAGCCTACGGCCCGGGAAGCTCTTCTGGGCTGGTGTTCCATAAATATGCAATACCCTACCATCCTTACCGCTGGGCGAGAGGAAGTCCTGTGGCTTATCATGGCAGCATGGTGCCAAGGACCTAACACCCAAGGTGCTGATGTGATCAGCAGGGACTTGCTGTCCCAGTGCGGGAGGAGGCAAGGTCCCTGTTGCTGCCTCCCTGAGTTGCAGATGCTCAGCCGATGCTCAGGGGCCCAGGACCTGTCACACCTGGTGTAACTGACCAGTCAGGTGGAAACCTAGCTGCCCAGAAGAGGACAGTAAAGGTGGAGGAACCCTTCCTGCCCTGTTCCCTGTCTCCCCAAACGTCCTGCTGGTGCTTCTGAATTGTGACACAGCCACGTCTAGAATTGTCAGTATTCAGCCTGAGGACCTGGCATAGGTGTCTGGGAACCTGCACAGTTGGTCTCATAGTGAAAGTGAAATCCCTTCCTAATTTGGGCGGGGGGGGGCTCCCTTAAGTGGAAGTGAGGGACCTGGGCACGTTAGCACCAAGAGGATGGCTTGTCCAGTCAAGCAGGGTCCCTCTTCCCCTGCCAGTTTTCAGAAACTGACTATGCAGGCCATCGTCCTGCTGGGGTTTTAAGAGGTAGCTCTGAGGAGACAGGCTCAGAGAGGCACTGACTCCCAAAGCTCACACAGTGAATCGTCTTCACCGCAGACTCAGGCCTTTCAGCTCCCAGGCCCTCAAGCTACTTCCTGTGCCATGCTGCCTGGCTCCCTGAAGCAGGTGGTTGTCAGGCTCATCCATCAGCCCCAGGCACATTGGGGCTCGGGGTCGGGTTGGGTGGGGGCAGGGTGGCGTGAGACCAGACAGACAGACAGAGGGTAAGTCCTCCAGATTCCTTTGACTTCCCCAAGACACAGGCCGGGTTCACAAATGTGGATTCCCAGCAGCCCAAGAGTTCTGCTGGGAAAATCAGGTAATTAATTGGGCAATTAGCTACCAGCCAAAGAAGGATGGGATGTGGATTGGGTGACTTTTACAATGAACAGATAAGTCGCCAGGAGAGGGCAGCCACTTTTGTCATGCATAGGAAGGGCCAGGTCCCCAGACTGTGGATCTGGAGTGTCTGGCTTGGGGTCAGGTCAAGACAGAGAAGCAGAAAAAATCATCCCCTGTGCTGGCGGGCAGGAAGATGTTTGAATACCTACAAAGCTGCCGAAGTCAGCTCGCTCTCACAAAGAGCCCTTGGGTGGAAGTGGTCCAGATTGCTTGTGAGCCTGAGCTGGCCAGAGGTTTAAGTTTTTGTGACATCTTTTTCTTCACAGATATGACATTGTGGGTGTTCTCATTTCAGGAGTGCTGCACAGAGATGCAAATGCTTTGCCCTGCCATCTATGCATCCTTAGGACCGAGACACCGGACCAAAGTCCCCCAACCCAGCTGGCCTTTGGTTAGCTCCACGTTCTTACCTCACTTGTCCTCTGGCCCACAGGCCATGATGTGGGCAGCAGCCCTCCCTACTCTGGTGTAGGCATCACAGAGCCATGGATCCTGGGCTCCAGACAGCCCCATTCCTCCCTCTGCTCAGGCCCCAATAACTTCCCACTATCCACTGTGGTACCTCCCACCCCATGGAGGAGCTACAGCTTGGAGTCACCTGGGGCACCTTACGATTCCT